TTAACTCTTTTCTGACTAAATCCAGTACACTGGGTAAACAAGAGAACTTCCATGGTTCCTGGAGATCATTGCACGTGGATGTCAGTGTTGGGGAGATGTGCATGTCAGAATGGGAGAGAGGTAGTTTCTTTGTCAGGTGTTCCAGACTAAGGGATACAGTACTGTGTGCTTTGCCATGTTCTCTTCTTTCTGTGCAGTGGCAGAGTAGAGGAGAAACCTGTCTAAAAAAGAACACAACTGCTTGTAGTGTCTGCTTAAAAATTATTCTGATTTCAAGTGTTAGAGCCTTGGGCCGGGAGCCATCATTTAACATGGTTCCCAGTACTCAGGACAGTCTGGGTCAGGAACAGCTTCTTGCTTGAGTTGGCTGTTGTCACCTCAGGTCACAGCTGTTCCACTTAGATCCTAGTATACGTTTAGCTCTGGTTGAATGTTACATAAATCAAGCTTCAGATTACTAGGGAAATGCATTGAATTGCTGTCTCCTCCCAGTTCTTACTAGGTCATCATTCTTGTTTCTTGTAATAGTATTAACACTGATGCGGTGAACATTCCCTTGACTTGCAGGTAAAGAGTACTTACTAAAGGGATTTTTTCTCAGGTAGAGGTAAAATGCTGTTACTGCTTTTCTTTATATGGTAGCATGAAGTACTAGGCTATCATTTCCAAGTGAAAGATCTGTACCATATTCCATAGGGGGATATGATGGCTACCGTCCTTCCTTTTCCAACACTCCGAACAGTGGTTACACGCAGCCCCAGTTTAATGCTCCTCGGGATTACTCCAACTACCAGCGGGTAAGCTACCATTATGTTGTGACAGTCTAGAAGTAGAAGAAAAAAGTACCTGTCAAGAAAAGCACTCAAATCTACTGGTGAAAATTTTCCAAGGCCTTCAGTGCTAATGAAGACAAATGTTTCAGGTGCTAAACAGATACATAGAAACAGCAGAATGTTAAAGGGCTGGTTATAATTGGGAGACTTTTTTGGTATGGGTTATTGATCTCTAAAGCAACTAGTGTAGTAACTAGGGCAAGGTTGAGTGAATTATAAAGAACTCTTTCTTAAATGTAATTATTTTTACATCTTTGTCAGAAAGAAACTCAAAGATGAACTTGAATCTGTTTAAATTAACTTTTCCAATTTGTTTGGGATTGCTGGTCTTCTGCAGCATTGATACTCTGAAATTTGCATAGAATGTCATTGTTCTGCAGGAAGTGTGCTCGGTTTCCTTAAAGCTGAGAATGACTGGAAGATGTCTAACTGCATATCCCCAAACAAGTATTTATAAGCAAACGAGACAACAGATTTTAATTTTACCACTAGAATGTTGCTTCATTTGTTGACGAGTCCTTTATCAAATTCATCTGTTTGACCTCTGTAGTTTGAAAAATTTGAACACTAAATACATCTAGTTACATTTCTTATTTATATTGAACAACAAAACCTGTAACTGGAGAGATAATTTATCATTTATGTTTTATTGTACCTGCTAGGTACTTTTAGGACTAAATTTACTCTTGGAAGAATGTATTCTAAACTAATTAAATGCTATGTGTTAGTCACAGGTGTTTTGTCAGTGCACATGGCTTTAAGAGCTCCTTATTTTATTGGCAATTAACAGGTTCTTGAAGCGTAAGACTGCACAGGTTTGATGCCATAACTTTTTTAATTTCTTTGCTTCAGGATGGTTATCAACAGAATTTCAAACGTGGCTCTGGGCAAAGTGGACCTCGGGGAGCTCCTAGAGGTAATTCCTGAGTAGTGAGTAATTGATTTCAGCTGAATGGAAGTTTTTTTTTTCATCCAACTTCTGGAGTTTTGAGTTTAAAAATCAACCTCACTCCTTATTCAGCAGGTCACAATTGAAGAATAAGCTTATTTTCCTCTGACCTTATAGCTGACCCCGCTTTTGAACAGAGGTTGGACTTGGAGGACCACTTGAGGTCCCTGCTGATCTGAATGATACTGTGATCCTTTGAACTTGTGACGGAAGCTTAGTTGGCCATTGAGTGAGGAATTCTTCAAAAAGAAGTCAGAACAACAGTTATTTTTGACACTTTTCAGTGTAGCAGAACTATTTAGTTGCTTTTATTAATAAAAGCCTTAGGAAAGTTGTTTGTTGGGGTTTTTTGGTGTGGTTTATCATGACTTAAGATCTGCTTACTGGGTGCATAAGTAGTTTACAAGTGAGACTGGCTTATGAAGCAGACGTCGGGCTTGAGCTGGCTGTCAGCCTTCAAAATTGTGTGTTACTCTGTTGCCCTAAAGATGTCCTACTGCATCTGTGGTGGAGGTCTCTTGATCTGAGGGTACAAAACTTTCCTCTGTGCTCATCTGTTCCTTGATCCTATAAAATTGTTACTTTAGGTTATGGAGAGGTGCTGTCCCCTCGCTTCAGAAGACTGTTTGCCACATGTTCATCTGAGAAAACTAAACTAAACGTAAAACCCCACCCACATAGTGAGGCTGTAGTTGAACTTCTACGTTTTATTTTCAACACTATTTCCACAATTTGGGTTTGTTTGGTTTTTTTCAGTACATTTTTAGTGGCGAGACTGTCTTCTGTCTTGATTCAGACATTCTTTGAGAATATTGCGTTACCACCAGAGTGCCTTGTCAGTACGTGGCACTGTCTGTGAAACCACAGTTCTGTGTGGCAGTTTGGATTTGAAGAGTTGTGTCCTTGACTGTCTTGGTACTGAAAGCCCTGTAGTGTGGAACTGTGGCCTGAAGTTCAACATTTATTAGGCTGTGGAGGAACTGGGAGCATGTTTTAGGAAGCACAACGGTAATGAAGATGATGATTGAGGTTCGTTGTCAGGGATATGCAGGCAAGCATGAGAGGGATTCCCCAAGTGACCTACAGTTCTGCACACTGAGAGTGTGAGCTACAGGCAGTCTCCTTCTTCAGGAAGGAAAAGAATGGAAGTTAGAAGGTGATTATTTAGCTCATTATACTTACATTTAAAATACAGTGAAACTATTATTCCTTACATTACTGCAGAACTTTCAATTTTAGTCATATGTTCATATCATGATGACTTAATTTCCCCACCCCCATTTTTACTTGAAGTGATTACAACTTTGTAGCTCTTTGTAGTTTTGGGGAACAAGTATTGGGATAAAGCTGAAAACTAAAGACAGGTTACATGCAGTTGAGTTGATTCGAAGGAGCTTTTAGAACTGTATATAGTCTAGATATACACTTGGGAATTCTTATCCAGTTTAGATCAGACCTTTGGAATTTGTAAAAAAAACCTGACTTCATGCATAATTCAAGTGCCTTTTTATGTTTTCTAGGTCGTGGAGGGCCCCCAAGACCAAACAGAGGAATGCCTCAAATGAATGCTCAGCAAGTGAATTAAATAACTTCACAGGATTACATTAAACGCCAAAAACACACTGGCCAGTGTACTATACATGTTACCCAGAAGAGTTATTATCTATTTGTTCTCCCTTACAGGAAGTTTGTTGTAAAGGGACTATTTTCATTACCCATAATGACAGGACTACAGTTGCCAGCTTTATATTACCTGGATACGGAAAGGAACAAAACAACGTTTATTCTGCATGTTCTGTCCTAAGCATCATCTTGAGCCTTGCACATGAGATTTCAGATTCCTCACCCTTGCTAAGAGTAAAGCAAAAAAAGGCAATTTTCAGGGTGATCCAATCTCACGTGGTTAACTGGGAGTGGCAGGAAAAAGCAAAAGACTCACTTCTGTCATTTAAAAGTGATGTAACAAATTTGGATAAAACCCACAAATTCATAAAGATTTATGGTGGAAGCAGTTGACAAAACTATGTTCCCAGGAAAGGAGGGAAAAGGTGAAGTGTGGCTTGGTAGAGCAACTGCATTTCACCTTTTTCTTATTAAATTGAAGTGCTGAGCAGTTAAAGATGTGTAGTGATGAGTATTTCCCTAAATAGACAAATAGGCTTATAGCCAGTTTTTGACAAAGAAGAAGCACCCTTAGCTACAGCACTTTTCATCACCAGGGCTCTGTTTACTGTGGCTAAGGATTTAAGTTTGCTTGCATAACTGCTACTGTAATTGTGTAATTTAAAAAAAACCCTTCAATTTGGCACTTGAACAAAATTTGCAACAAATGTGAGATATAATCTGGATGGCCACTGTATATTTGATGTGAAGTATTTAGATATCTCTTTGAAACACTTTTTAAGTTTCTTTGATAGCAATGACTTTTGTAAGGATTGGTATTCTCTATCATTCCTTATGACTTGCACATTGTCTGTCACTAATACTTGACCTTGCTGTATTATCACCTAAATAACTGATGCCGGTACTGATGGAAATCTCTAATGAATAATCATAACACTTTTGGTCACATCTCTTTTTGTCTTTCCTGCAGCCTTGAAGGTTTTAAGAAATCTCAAATGCTTGCTGCTGCTGCCCTTTTAATTGCTCTTGTTTGGAAAGCACCAGTATGTGTTTGAATCGATTTCCCTTTTTAAGGGAAATGACAGCCAGCAGTTACAGTTCTAATGGTATAAGCAAGACAAATAAAACATGTTTATAAAAATGGCATCCTGGAACACTGGTTTTCAGCGACAAACAAATTGAATGTAATGGGGTGACATTTCGTAAGGTTGGTGGTTTGTTTGGGTTTTTTTCCCCCTGGGAGATTCTCCTTTTTTCCTGAATAGATGCAAACCCTTCTCCCGTTTTTCTGTTTTTATTCTATTAGCTGTGATCTCTTCTGGGAAACTTTTCTTTTAATGGACTTTCCTTTTCATCAAGGCAGCAATGTATAAAAGAAATGGCTTAAGACTAGGAGCTGGAAAATACCAAGTCTTACTCAAGTTTTACTGCATACTTGTGGTAAAATCTTTGGAAAAATCACTTGTGCCTACCTTTTGCGCACATGCACTCTCTCTGCAGTGGGGAGAATATATTGATAGCTGCCTCCATCGAGGTGTCGGTAGTTCTGTTGCGTTCTATAGCATGGGCAAGAAAAGTGCTATATATGTTAAATATTGCTCATCAAATAATTCCTACCTGTGAAAGGGTGAAATTAAGGAACCAGCTACATGTTGTTTAACTCTTATATACAAAACTGAAGGTTGTTTTCACTCAGAGGGTCATTTCTACTTTGTATCACAACTGAACTTTCAGAACTTGTAGTCGGATATTTTGACTTCATTGTGAAATTATCTGAACCTCTATACAAACCGGTGGTCATGCCACTTTTTCATCTTCTGTGTGAAGAGCACAAATAAGAGATGTTTTTATTGAGGGAAGGCATAAGCTTGTGAAGACAATATTACACACCAGGCATCTTGAAAAGACACTGATGGCTAGAAGCAGCAGTTGCAGTCAAGGCCTAGAAACATTCCATACCAGTATAACGACACAAACTACAGTCCTGTGAAAAGTTGCTGTTCTCTGTCTTTTTTAGGAAGCTATTGCTGAGTTAATAGTCCCAACTGTGTTTTAACTGGGGGGGAGGGGGGAAACCAAACCAAACCAAAAAACCCCACAAACCTTTTAATGTTGAACAAATGTAGGAGAACAGTGAAGTATTTTTCTTATTTTTTTGGTGCATTGGCTTACTTTCTGAATGGTTAGTAGAACACAAGCTATTCAGCTTTTTCCATTGCACACCAAAGGCTTATTCAACAGCTCGCTGTCATTTGACAGTAAACTTGCAGCATGCCCAATTAAAGACGACTGAACGAATCAGAACATTCCACTTCACAGTTTCGGTTTTGTTGGGGTTTTTTCAACTTAAATTTATTAATAAAACGTTGGATAGCTGAGAGGCCTCTTAACCGAGATACAACTTTGTAAGCCTTTTCATGTATGAAAATGGGAGTTTGCGTATGTTAATCTGGGAATTTGCACTGACTCCTTTAATCTCAATACATGTGTCTAATAAACAGTATACTGAGAAATTGGCTGGAGTCCCAGTATGGCACATAGGTCCACTGACTGGTTTTCTGGCTTGTTCAGGGGAGCTTTTAAGCGTCTTGGCTCTGTAACTTTGTTCTGGGTGAGAGTTACACCCAGATCATAAGCACTCCTAGATACGCCTTTTTAAAAAGGTCATCTTTTGAACAAAGACCATTCTAAGAAGTGATGGTATTGAGGCCGAACAGCGGCAATTCTGGACTGGCTCTGTGGCAGTGCCCTTGCTGGGTGCCAGGGGCCGAACTGTGTTTATTCTAGTTGGGGGCTGCTTTAGGGTAACGTGGGCCTGATGGCTGTGGTTGGAAAGTGCGAGTGAGCGGAACAAAGTGCTACTTCTGAGCCTGTATGTAGACATGAGTTGCACTCTTGAGTGGTTTTACTTGATTCTTTCATGAGAATTGGTCTTTTGGGAATGTAATAGACTAGTTATGGCTGCCTTCCTGCATATACAGCTCCTGTGAGGAGATCCAGATTGGTATTTTTGCAGGTATTTGATAATGCAGCATCAAATAATGCTAGGCTGTGATAATGTGCAGTGGTATGTGTTTGAGAACAGACTTCTGGCTTCAGCATCTCACTTTCAGTTGGCTGTAATACAAGGATTCTTGAGTAAATAATTTATAAGTCACTCAAGTTTCCAGATCTTTCTGCCTAATGTTACTCTGGGAAACTTGAATCCTTCCTAGACATCTTACAACTTAAATATTTCATGCAGAAATCATGAGCTGTTGTGTCATGCCTAAGGTCAGTGTTGTCCTACGTTTCACTTCTCCGTTCTCCCTGTATACAGGCTGTCTTCTTAAGAACACTTCACCATTACGTCTTTCAGTATCTCCTCCTGTGGAAGGAGTTCTGGACTTTACTTAACCCCTATGTTCTTTCTAAGAGACTGTCTGTGTGTAGCAGTCTCCTAAGGATATCATCATTCAGCGTAATGACTTCTTGTTAATAGCCAGCTGATGTATTCCACTGGGACTTCAGAACTTGGAGAACTTTGCAACCTTGAAAAGGTGTTGTCTCAAAACGTCCTACCAACCTTAAATATTTGTTAGGCAGGTCCTTCAGTTGGGTCACAGGTTACCTTTGTATGTGTGCTTGGAGAATGGATCAAACTTCCTTTCATCCAAATGGCATTTGAGTAACTACTTCAGAGAGAGAAAAGTTACTGAAAAGGCTTTAACTGTAGATAAATATTGAATTTTAAAAAAAATGGTACTGAAGAAGTGGTTAAACTTCACGTGATTAAAAGGAAATAAGGTAGAACCTTTGTGGTCCAGCAGAGTAAGATACAAAAACAATTGTCCAGAAAAATCTTGATCTTCCTGTTGTTATGTTGACGTTCTGGCATTGCCTAAGCTGAGAAGTTGACTTTGTACCTCTGTGCAAGAACCATTCATTAAAAATACACATCTGAGATAGAAATGTTTGAGCTCAGTGGACAAAGTTGTGCGGTATTCTTCAATTCTCACCAGGTCTCCTGCAGATACAAGAGGACATGAGAACACTTGCTTATTAACCAGCCTCGTTAATGAGGCTCCCAGTTACATCCTGAAAAATAAAGATCATCCCTCTTGCTCATGTGAAACTGTTCTTGATTAAAGTGTGTGCGAAGGATGCAAACCAGATACTTGAAGATCCAGGTTTATAGCTGGAGCTGAGGTTTGTGATGCTGGAGTAGACTGTGTATTTTAGTCTTTCAAACCTATGCACCTGTTTTTATAGTATTCTGCCTGCATTTAATATGGGTGGCACTAGAAAGGTTTTTAATTGCTTGAGCTGGCACCAAGTCCTACCGATGGGGTGGGTAGGTGTTCTTCACCACTGATGGGGAAAAATATGTGCCTCGTCTGAAGGGCGAGCAGGAAATGATCCTGAACAATAAAACTTTCCTTTTGAACTGAAGATGATTTCCTCATTTAAATCTGGTCTTACATATGACTGTCATCTGGAACTTTACTGGAAACTTGGACATTGCAAAACTGTCGTTTCTTCTGGTTTTCTCTAAATGACAAGATCTGTTAAAATTTCTTTGGCTGTTGGGTCACGACGTCAGCACCACCCGAGTGTTTGACAGGTCTTATACTAACCTTGGCTGTCACATGGTTAGTGTCAGAACTTCTCCAAAGGAGCTTTGTCATGAACCTTGGGAAGATTCCCTTATTTACCATCAGGTACCTGGTGTTGACGAAGGCGAACTGCTTAAACTAATGTGCTTCTGTTTGGTCAGTTTTTGGTTGGTTTGTTGGGTTGTTTGGTGGTGTGGGTGGTTTTTTAAATTTGTTGTGTGTGTTTGGTTGTTTTTCCAGAGGGAGGGAGATGGGGAGAGTCCTTAAGACTTCCTGGTTTGCAAATACTGTTTCCTTTTACATTCAAATGTTTTCCATCCCATTTGGTAAATTTTCCAAGAAGAAAGGTTCCATGCTTTTGAGAACCACTGCACATGGCTGCTTAGGATTTGAGGTTGCACTCAAGTTGTCAAAGGAAAGAAAACATCTCTGCTGTAGTAGGCGATTCGGCTTCCCGTCTCTTCCTCTGTGTGAAGGCAAGCCCCTGACAATCTCGTACCTTAGGCAAACTTGAAAGCAGCACCTTGGATTTCTGTCTCTTCCTGCTTCAGAAGCTGGGTGTGGTTGAATTCTTGGTGTGGTATGGCAGCCTCTGATGAGAAACTGATTTATCTAAGGGAAGTGGTGCTGTTTTATTAACCACTTCCTTAGGCTTTTTGAATATAGCACACATAAAATTATTTGTGGCGCTGTAGGTGTGGTCTTAATGGAGGGAAGGAGATCTGTTTTCCAAAATAACTGTCCGAAAGCCACTCCCGAGCGGTGCTTAAGAGAACTGTGTTAGGGAAGCTTTCGCCTAACTTGGCATTTGGTTCTGAATTAAATTTATCTGTGTTGGCTCGTGCTGCAGTTATTAACCCTTTGAGTTTTAAAAGCTAGATTCTGGTTTCCTCTCCCCCCCTTAGTGTTCATACTGGAATCGGACGGGTGTAACTAGCTCGGTTCCAACTATGGTGGCCAGTTTCTTCCTATAAAACATGCTTAAATACCCAGTAGTGGATCGAGAGTACACCTGAAATTTTGGTTTCAGCAATTACCCATTAGACTTCTAGTAAATGAAAATGTATGTCCTTTTTTGAAGTTGTTCGATTTTTAGGTTGAATTTTAGTAGCGCATCTATGATATAAAATAAGCCTTCAGATTTGTGTTTCAGTTAACTGTCAGATTTAGATTTTCTGATGGCCTTAAACATACCTGTATAAATGTCTTCGCAGTTCTTTAACTCAGCATTTCAAACAAATTGGTCCATGGCTTATGTAAAGACTTGAAAATAAATATATTTAAATGTTTATGTCCTTCCCTTTTGAGCAAATACACCTTAAGGAATGGTCTTGCTACGCCTCTGTTGAACTGGTGGTTTTGTCTCAGTTACCATGTTTATTTGGGTTCACCTCAAAAAC